CCGAGCCTCCAGTGATGTGGAGGCTGCGTGGGAAAAAAAAAAAAAAAAAAAAAAAAAAAAAAAAAAAAAAAAAAAAAAAAAAATCAGACATAGGTGTGGAAGTTCAGCCAAATTCCATCCTGCTTCTGCTTTCCCTGACACATTCTAAACATCTGCATCACTTAGCACGATCTTGAACAGGTCTGTCCTGGTAGGAAAATCAGAGTTCAGCAAGAATCCCTCTATTTTTGTTTTTCCCTTTTGCTTTTTTGCYTTTTAAAAATATCATAGTCTTGCACTGTGGCTATTCTAGTTTTTCACAGAAATGGCAGGCAGCCAAAGACTGGAGTCATTATTTGCAAACTCTAAAAATAGAGTCAAGATTTATAGGAAGAAAACAGATATGTCTTGTTATAAAACCATGAATAAGGATTGGCACGAACATAACGGTTTATTCTTTTTTGATATTGCTTATTGTAAATTGCACTCTATCTTTCTGGGAGATACACCAGATAGTTACARTGCAGAAACGTTTCCTTTACTTGAAAGTGCTGCAAAACTGCAGTTTATTTGTTGTAAAGACTTGATTATTCAAAGGAAGCGATAAGAGATGAGGTAGCCCCTGGGAATTTTGTGCATTTTTGGGGTGGACAGTTTGTTTTAAAAAAAGTATTAGTGATCTTCTTCTGCAGGTCACTGCTGATAAAAATTACATTCTTCGCCCAGCGAAAAGGCGCCTCGTGAGTTGCACTTCTGGTTAATACTGCTTGTTATTGTACACCATGAACATCACATCCCTGATCTAACTGTGGGTAATAACGCTCCCTGCACTATCTGCTTTCTCGTAGGCTCTGGCAGGGCAGCAACAAAGAAAAAAAAAAGGAGGGGAAAGGAAAAAAAAAGAAAAAAAAAGGAGGGGGGAAGCAAGCAGAGGGAAAGAGAGGGAGAGACTTTCACAAAGAGTTAAAAAGGCCTGATGAAATCCTTACAATGTACACCATATGGCTTGACATTTACCAGATTAGTTAAACATTTCTACTGGGGATAAATATTCCTGAACATCGATGTAAAGAAATTGCATGAGACAAGGGCACATACAGCATATTTATGCCATGGAGTAATCTTTTTTTTGTCCTTTTCTTTTTTTTTTTTTTTTCCCTCCCTTCCCCTTGGCTAGCAGAATTCAGGTTACAGAGCATGTAAGGGACAAGTGTACTAACCCAAAATAAACCCCACTTCTGTGCACTCCTGAGCTGCTGCTGGGGTGGCTTCCAGCATCGYCCCAAACACACCTCAAAATCCTCCCCGCAAAAGAAGTTTTTGAATGAGTGATTTTGCTGTTAAAAAAACAACAAAACCCCAACTCTATGGAGAGGCTGAAGCATTAAAGTTTGTCAAAATCTATCTGAGCATTCGGGTTGCCTGTGGAAGATGACTGTGATGGCTGCCAAAGTGATTTGAGCTGGTTGATGCAGAGGAGGTGACTGCTGGTGCCCGTGTCTGGTGTAGCCTGCCCCGCTCCTTGGTGAGCAGCCCTAAAGCCACAGATTTCATCTGATCTTTGCAAAGGCTAACATTTGTCTGCTGTCATTTTAGTGAGATTGATGACAGACTCGGACGGGGAGGAGGAGGGGGAGCGCAGCGGGAGGAAGGCTGATCCCCACAGCCCCGATAGTTGGGGCCAAGCCCATCCAGAGTCGCTATCTGGACCCTCTGATCAGCTCTAGCAGCAGCAGGGAGTTGGTCCTGCACCACTCCAGCAGGAATTGCACGGGTTTGTTACAGGAGATTGGAGGAACTCGGAGACAGGAAGGCAGCACTTTGCACCTTATGTATCTTAATAGATTATTCGCGTCACAAGCAACACAGGGCAAAATGTTATGACAACCATAAGAATGTAGTTTACTGTGGCTTAATGTGGCTGGGCAGTGCAGGGTAAAGCTATCAAAAAATATTTTATTTTTTTTTAAAGTTTCCAAGAGAAACTAACCGATGTGGACGTGCTGCTATTTTTATTCAAAGCTTTGAATTCTGGCAAACTCTTTCCAGGCAGTAGCAGAAAAGGCTTACTCTTTTTGTTATTATTAGTAGTATTCCAGTGCCAAACTGAAAATCAGACACTTTCCCACTTGGAAGCTTTCTTGCAAGCTGATGTAATAGGGGAATCTTCTGCAAAGGACATATGTCCCAAGCAGGGCAGTCAGTAATGTGCCTTAGAAAAAATATATGTAATGTGCCTTARAAAAAAAAAAAAAAAGCTTTCACACTTGGGCAGGGTGAGGTCTGTGTATCTTCCCATGAATGAATAAATGACTATCAAYGCTGAAAATTAATCTTACCTCAAAATCTTAGAGACTGGGGCTTTACCAGGCAAATGTATGTAAACATAGAGGGATCTCAGCACTTGTAGGAAAGAAAGGCAGCATGAATGGGTTACTGCCCTTATGGAGAAATGTACCTGCAAAACTTAATCCCAATATTAGATTGGAAACCACTGAGGCAAGGGCTGGGAGCAGCCTGGATCCTCTCTGGGAGCTGAAGGGAGATGGGTGCATGAGCCAGTAACTCTTAACAACCTGGAATTCAAAATATGCCTGACCTAAAACCTTGGGCTGGGACATGTACAGGCTTAGGGGAAYGCTCAGCTCCAGCCCCTTGTGTTGAGATTTACAGTGCTGAGACTGATGCCATGTGGATTATAACCACACAGTGTCCCATCACGACAAAATGATGTCGCATGAGAACAGGGTTTCATCTGCAGGCAGGGAAAAATGTTGAGGAAAGTGTGAAAACAAGGTGTACCCTTCTTATTCTTGCTGGTCAGAGAAGAGCAGACTCCCACCCGAGTGGGAGAGCGGGCACAAACCTTGCGCTTGGGTGATCACGGGTGGCTGGGTTGATAAAGGGTGAGCCYGAGAGATAAATACCCATACGGAGGAAAATAAGAACAGATAATGGATTGGTGCAAGTCGCAGTATATTTCCTCCTGGTGATGAAAGGCTAAGAGTGAGTTATAGATCTTTCCTCATGATAAGAACAGATAYTTCTTTCCAAATCATTTATTTGTAAGATACTGAGATGTTACTTTTGTCTGCATTGGTATTATTCTGTCTCTTTGCATTCCCATCCCGGTCTCTAGCAGGTGACAACATGGTAGGGTCCCCAAAGGGTCTGTCTGCACCTCCCACGGGTGAGGTGTTGCTTTTCATTGTCGGGATCTGGGAAGAAAGAGGGAATGTTTATCCAGGTGTCTCAGGTGATGGTGATATGGCTATTTATGCGTGACCAGGGTTTAAATCTTGCTTTGTTCAGGTCCTTAATGTACAAGAAGAATTTCTGAAAGTGTAATAAGATCTGCTACTGCTCTGGGATAGAATTTACATTAGAAAAAACTCCCAACATTCCCGTGTTTGGGTGACGTGACAGGTGTGTGCGAGGACGGGAGACCATGCGGGGAGAAAAACGCAGCGCGGTTTTGTCAGTTGGAAAAGATCAGAGCACCAGGTTCGATAATGAGGGGAAACGGCTTTTAAAATTGCAATTATTTTATCAACAGTATTATTACTGAGTAATAATTTTGTTCAATTTAGCAAGCGGCTGTCTGTCAGCCCCCTTTCCCCGGGCGGTGTCGGCAGCGGGACCCCCCGCCCGCCCTCACGGCCGCGCCGCCATCCCGAGGAGAGGGTGGGAACACTCGGGGCGATGAGAAAAGCCGATCCAAGAGGGAAGCACGGCTGGGCTGGGGCCGGACAGGGTTTGGGGCTGTGGGATGAGGGTTTAGGGACGGGCAGATGCCATGTCCCAGCCTGTGGGATSAGGGTTTAGGGACGGGCAGATGCCATATCCCAGCGTGAGGGCTGTTTGTGGGCAGAGCTGCTGGCCTCAGCACCCCAGTGTTTTCACCTGCTGTAAGCTCAGTCTTTGCTGTCCGGTTTAAACCTCTGCTTTTGGATCTTCAGAGAAACCTTTGCAATGGTCAGTAAATCTGAATTTTTTTCTTGCTCTGGTTTATGAGCTATCCAGGAGATTTGTGACTTGGTGGATCAAGCAGCACTGAGGGTACAGGTTTGGGCTAAAGGGGAGGATTCAACTCTCTCCATCGTGTTTAAAAGAGTTTTTAGGTTCAGTACATTAAMGTGTTAATAAGGGAGCCCTGTGTTCCCACACTGCTCTTAGAGGTGTTCTCACACTGCTGACCTGACCCCCTTAATCCTGGCTTTCCTGGAGGAAAAGCTGATCCAGCCTCCTGTACCTAAAATGGGATGAAAGGGACTGATGGGCCTGTTTCAATGATGGTGTTTCTCAGGTACCTCAAGCAGCCTTGTTCTTTTTGTATTCATCATTTATTTCCCTAGGAAGGAGAAAAAGAAAAAAAAAAAGGAAAAAAACCCTCTAGATGTGAGAGCTCAAATCACTGAAGATGAGAAGCTGCAAAAGGAAATAAAGAGGTCAAACACCTAAGTTAGCTTATGATTAAAAAGAAATTAGTGGGTCTATTTTTAATTTGTTTAAATATATTAATTTCTATTAGAGAGGTCTTTATATTTCACTAAGTATGAGATGAAGTGTGTCACCAGAGGAAGATTTTTTTTTCAGTTTTAGTATCTTTTCTCTTCAAAAATTAGAAGTCCAACACCACTGAAGTTACAAAGGTAGAGACGGCAGGACTGGCAGCAACGTGGGACTTTGCCTCTACAGCACACTGTGATTGCCTTCCAGTTGGGCCAGTTTGCAGGAATTCAGGGAAGAGAGATATAAACTGTGCATACCAGGTATGTTGTGGGGAGGTCTGTGGTACCACACAGTCCCCAAATACTCAACCTCAGAATGCTGTGCAGCCTTGAGAGCAAAACCTCTGCATCTCTGCCCTCAGACCCAKCCCAAGATGTTGAGTCCCAGCCCAAGGCACTGCTGGGAGCCCTCTTGGAGGCTGAAGTGCATCTCATATCTGAGTTTAGCTGCCAGAGCTTACGTCTTTTTTTGTTAAATCTGCTAGACTATGGATATTTTCGGGCTGCAGCTGACAGAAATTAGAAAGGATAGTTGTAAATAAAGTTTTGGAATGCCAGAAGTCTGTGACGAAGCTTTTATAATCAGCTCACAAGCTGAACGGTGATCTAACTGTTCCAAGGCTTTCCGTGAGATTGCTGGGTTTTCCATTTTTTCTTTTCTTTCTTTTGTTAAATGAAGTTCCTTATGAATGAACACAGCAACTGGGCCAGTCTCTGCAAACCTGTGAGGGAAATCCACCATCAAGTTTGAATAAAAATAATAAAGTGTTTGGTTAGGAATTTGTCACAAAGCTCCAAAACAATGCAAACACCCTCAGTTTCTTGTTTTGTTCCCAGCTGGAAAGCCAGGCCAGAGTCATTGAACATTTCACCAAGTCTTGCTAACCTTCTGAGCTGAGTTGTGAGAAATTGTTCTTGACATCACATGAGCTGGGCCRCAAGGCAGGACTAATGTGATATTTGCTGTCGAAGGTTTCCTAGGAAACATGCTACTTAGAGCACTCAGCCCTCCCTGCCACCCTTCCTGCATCCTCCAGCTTCCCTCGCTCCCACAGGTTTTGCAGGGGGCAGGGATGTCCCCTCTGACCTCCAGACACATTCGACACAGACCTCCCCACTTCCCAGCTGAGCAGAGAGGGGCTGTGGAGATTCTGAAGCTCACCCACCTAATTGCCCTTTTTTCTCTGATTTATTTCTTGTTTTTCCCCAGCAYTCTGCAGTGGGAGAAGTGAGAGAAACTAAGCTACAATCCTGCAAGATGGAGAGAAGGAAGTTTGAGCCTTCTCAGTGAACTTAAACTTTCCTGCCATGGGAGGGTTGGTGGAAAAAGGTTAGGAAAATCAGCAGAAAACYTACAACTTAACAAGTCACGTATTTTGCCAGCAGTTTGCAATGCAGTAGCTGTTGTGGTACATAACCTATAGGGATTTTTTGGCAGAATGGAGTTCCCCAATTCCTTCCCATAATTTCACCTGGTAGGTGCTGTCCTTGACATCAGACCCACAAAATAATTCCTGCCATCTGGGCCAAACTTTTCAGCTTGGCCATTTGGAGCAGCAGGAGAGTTCCCATTGAGGATGGGATGAATGGAGTCGGTTCACACATGTTAACCAAATGCAAATCCTTAGATGGAAACTCATGGTCAGCTTTTTCCACTGCTATTTTCAGAACTTCCACAAAAGACCGTGCTGTGATTATATGTATTCATGATATGTATATCATGTATTCAGCTCAAACAATATTTGAATGATGCATTTAGAATTCTTCCTAAAAAAGGACCATGCTTCTGTAAACTGCATCATATTTGTAAAAAGAGGGAAAAAAATCTAGCTTGCTTTTCCTTTCTTCCTCTCTTTCTTTTTAATATATCATTTCATAAGGCCATAAGAATGGGTGTTAATGCTACATTACACACAGACGCACTTCTACATAATCATATGCATTTGCCTGGATTCCATACATAAACAACCCTATGGAATCCCGACTCTTCATTGTTAAGTTTGTCTCCATATTTTTCAAAGCAAAGCAGCTCTGGGTGTCAAACAGTTGCTTTTTTCACTCTTGTTCACTGGGCTTTGCAGAAAATACAGGGAAACAAATAATGTATTGGGAGTTTTGTGGGTTTGTTGGGTTTCTTTTGTTTGTTTTCTTTTTTGTTGTTTGTTTTGCTGTTATTGGGTTTTTTTGGTGTTTCTGTTTTTATTTTTGATTTTAGTGGTTGTTGGTTGGATTTTTTTGTACAGTTTGGGGTTTTTTTTTTGTTCTGCCTACCTGGCCATTTATAACTGCCTCTTTTTCCTCTTGTCTCCTTTACTGATAAAACACCATTTTTATGACTCTGTCATTAAGTGTCCTTCACATTGCCAATATTGATTTCCCCAACCCCTGGAAGGCCCAGCGTGTCACCTCCATGAGGCTCCCTGAAGCCACTGGTTTGGAAAACAGGAGCACAAAGGTTGCTGTTGCTAGACACTGGTTTCCCACGTGGTGGAAAGAAGACAAGTAGCCCCAAGTCACTGGGCTGATTCATTTCTCTCCACAGTGCCATTCCCTTCACCTTTCTTCATGTCTGTGTAGTGAAGTTGCTTGGCCAACATGCCCCATGGGCCTTGTCTTAGGAATGAAAGTGCAAGGGGTGGAAAAGAAATTCCATTCTGGATCGTTTAGCTCTGTCTTCAGTTTCTGGTGGCATCCAAAAGATTGGGGTGGCTTTTGGGCTGGCTTTTCAGCGTGCTTTCGGGTTCAGGAGAGCAGCTCRTGCTCGGCCCTGCAAAGCCAGTGAAGCTCCACCTGTAAATCTGGGCAGAATTGCAGTCTTTGTGGCCAGAGAAGGAAAACTAGTAACACTCTTCTCTTTTTGTTCCAATCCAGAAAAGATTCCTCCAAGCATGAAGTCTGTGATGTCAGTCTCATAGAAACAGCACCAGCTTACCTGAGGATATGTCTACGAGTCTCAGGTCTTTTCCAGTCTGTTAGATCAGCATTTTTCACTGGAAAGCCACTCTTTCCATGCATGGAGTAATGATGGTGGATTTGCAGCTCAACCCCTGCCCGTGAGATACCATCATGAAGCCACATTTCTTATGGAAGGCAGAACCTTTCCACATTATTACCCAACAGGTAAGATTCTGGTGGATCACCCATTTGTTGTTTTCAGAGCACTCTCAGAATGTCAGTCCTTGTGGCACCAYGTGTAATATATGTCAGGGCTATTGTTAAACCCCACTGCCAGCTGAGGAAGGGGAGAAGGAGATTACAAAACCACAACTTGAGTTATTGGTGGAGACAGGACTGGAACTCAGGATTTCCTGGGCAGATTACCACCTTTCACTTCTCCCTCAGTTGGTATAATTAGCAGTGTCCTGGGCCTCTCTTATTCCCATGCAAGCGCACATCTGAATGCATTTTTCTTTGAAATTGTCTGTCTTGGGGTCATTTCTGTTGTGCACTTCTGGCGGTTGATGATCTGTTGTCTGTGGTGAAATGCTCACTGGTACACTGTAAATCATGAAGAGATGCAAAGGCATCCATTTGTTACTACTGATTCAATCTCTCAGGATTTCTGGAATGGGCTACCTGTAAAACTTTGGGAGCCAAGTCTTGAAAAAAACCCAATCCTTTGTGGCTCTTTATTTTTTTTGTTCTTGGCTGCTAGCCATGCAGATGGTTGTCTTACATCCTTGAGATGAACTTAGTGCAGTTCTCATTGACCTAGCAAGCCATTTTTTCCCTGATGACAAGCTGGGATCACATTTTGTAATGACTGCTGCAAGATTGTCTTGTTAGGGAAAGGGCTAAGGTGGKATCGTCTTTAATGACAATGAAAGCACCTCATAAAATCTGATTCTTCGGTTTTACAGGCATGGCTGTAAGAATTTTAGCCAATACAGACTTAGTAAATCAGTCAGTCAAAAATTATATCGGTTGAAGTATAATGTTCATGGCAGTCCAAAAACCTGAACATGTAGGTGATTTGGAGGGCATTTTGTTAACTCTTTAATTGGTCGTTTGAGTGCTGGAGGCAGCAGCTAATTGCCTGTAGGTCAGAGTAGTCCTAGAGCTTAGGTAAATGTGTATTGTCATATGTCACATTTTCATATGGCTCCTTTGCACAGGTTGGTAAAAATGATTGCTGCGTAATTAAAATTAAGACAAGGTGGGAAAAGTGATTCAATTAAACCCCTGAAGCCATTGCACAAATTATCTGAAGTACCAAAAACTAATGAATAGTTAAAACTAGTTTTATCTTTTCACTCTTCATTCCTGAATCCTGAGGGTATCAAAATGGCTGAAGTCTCTCTCAAAGTTCTCGAGGTGCGTTTTTGGGTGGGCAGAGCAAGTTATGAGTCAGCACAGAGGAATCCAGGCCTTTTAAAATACCAGCACACAGAAACTTTGTTACCTACTTGTTTTGAATTGAAAATAACCAGACCTTACGCACAAGAGACCTTTTGGTTTCTCTACCAGCCCTGAATTATTTTGAAAACATCTGCAATATTTCACTCTGCATGCAGCAGGTATTATATACCAGGGAGGGTGATGACAGTAAAAATAAATGAGATATGTTGTAACCAAAACATCCCAAGTTTTACATCATACATTTCACAAGCCTAGCAAGCATCCTGTGCTTTGACTTGAAGGCTGAAGGCATGTGGTAGTTTTACAAATGTCTATTAGTATTAACAAATATGTTCCATTATTAGACAGTGTGCCACTGCCCCAACCTCCCAGTGCAAGAGGTGAGTTAATATGGCTTATAAAATATAAGAGTGCTGCAGGCACAAACTATGGAAATCAGAGCCCTGGCTAAGCAGGAGGTCTCATTACATTTTGTGGGACAACYTACTAGAGGCCTGAACATGAGCATAAAAGCTGCCTCCCAGCTAAGGCTTTTTATGGTTCCTGTCCTTTCCCAGAGCAATACAGCTCTAGGAGGTTTAGAGCAATAAGGTCTGCACCTTTGGATACTGGCAGTGTGCTATTTCTGACCGGGTTTAAAATGAGAAAATTAAGATGGGTGTGTTTGCACTGTCCCTTTGCTTTTTAACAGAATTGTTGGTGGCTGAAAGTAGCAGGACACTGAGGAGTTTTACTCCTTGGTTTTGGGGTTTGTTTTGGTGTTCTTTGGGGTTGTTTTTTTTTTGGTTTTTTTTTTGCATTGCTCTGTGCAGGTAGCTGTAAACTCCCCCATTTCTGGGAAACAGAATGTTTCTTGGCCAGGTTTGACAAGACTGTGAGTGTCTGCACRGAGAAGACCCAATATGTTGAAACTGTGTAAAACAGTGCATCTTTCATGGAGGCAGAAAAGTCTGGTTGCTCCTTTTTAGAACAGATGCTGCCCTGGAAGGTTCTTAAAACATGTCCTAGTAGGGACTGTCTCCAGCCATCCACGTGGAGGTGTCTGCACACATCTTTCCCTAGCAGGGTTGGTGTGGATGTATAGATGAGGAACACACAACCTTTTCATGCTCCCACCTCTTTGGAAGTGATTCTTGTCCTGCATTTGAAACAGTTAAAACCCCTATTCTAATGCTCTATCCAAACTTAATCAGAAACCTTAAATAGGAACTAATTTAACACAGTCACATGTTCATCTTAGTACTGGCTTTATCAAGCCAAAAATATCCCTGCTGAGGACCAGGGCGATTCAGGGAATAGTAGGTTATAAAAACATGATGATGTCACCTTACTAGATGAGTCGTTCATTAATGAGTAAAGGTTCTGTAGGTAGAAAAAATAAACYTTCCTAAAGATTTCTGTGGATAAAAACCCCAAGAGATGAGGAGAGCAGAGAAAAAGGAGGAAACTGAAGCACAGGAGGTGTTCAAATCACGTGAGCTCTCTGCTTTCCCATGCTTCTTAGTGGAAAAGCAAACTGCCAGAAATTGTTAGGAGTGTCCTAAAAAGTCAAAATGTGAGTGGACAAGTTGCAGTCTTCCCCCCCCAAACATTTTCTTGAGTCTTTTTTAGTGTRTGTTCAGCCTAGACTGCTGGTAATCAGAGACAAAATTTCCACTGCCTGTGATTCAAGAAAAACACTGCTTATGTCATTAAACATGAGTGTTTTTCTGTAGCCTGAAATTTCTGTATAGTCTTGGCTTGAGACCACCCAAATCCAGGTGAAGCAGTGCTTGGGAGACAAGTTGAGGTTTTCCTTTCACTCCAAGGCATAAGCAAGAGGCTGCAGTTGATTTCATAAATGCAGACTGATATTTTTAGGAGGCTACCAACAAAAACCAGGTTGTGGGATGGGCTGTTGTGGATTGTASCAAGAGAGTGCTGAAATTCTTGCCCTGTGTATAGGAATGTGAAAATGACCCAAGTGTGTTG